GCCTTAGTTCAGAAATAGCTAAATATTGTCTGCGTATATTTAAGTATAAAATTATTCACATGGTTCGTTAATAGGTAAATATTCGTCGTTATGTACTTGTTTCGTGTGTAGGAAAATACTTGAAGTTTATAACTGAGTCTATAAGCCTTTAGTTTATACAATAAAAGGTAGATATCGGTATTTTATATTTGAGCCTGTACGAACTATTGGGTAGTGGGCCCTTTAGTTGGGTTTTACCATTCTGCTAGAGATGAAGTCGGCATATTCTAATCCTCATCGAGAAAATGCTTTATATTCCTGTCTAATCTAATCTTCAATCAATAACAAAATGTCTTTTAGTAATAGTGTATCCGTTGTAAACGGATTCTAATTTTCAAAACAGAATATAAAACTGTTTATCTCCATAAGTAAAAAGCATAAATCTGGGAAAGATATAAGACATTTATTGGTAGACATGGTCCATTCTAGAGTTCTTAAGACTTTTTTTTAGAAGAAGTAGTTGTGACTATTGCGAATTATTGTTCCTGCCAACTTTTGTTATTCCAGATTGAAGGAGACAGCTGTAACAGCTCTTTGAACACACCCCACTAAACACGGTTTGACACAGCTGACTAGTTTATAGATTGCAGTCGAGAATTTGGAAGCTCACTATGCGATAACGTTTTATTTTAAACTGGGCAGAAGTGAAACAGCGCTAAAGGGATTTCAGAACATCAAAGCTAGTTGAGAAAATTCACAATTTTCTGGACGAAAGCATCATGTGTCTCTAAAGACAATCAGCGTGACAAATGTGCACATAATTAATCCCGAAGATCTCAATATGCACTGAACCTGTGCAAAGCTTGTTCCCAATGAGATCAATGACTAACAGAAGAAAAGGCATGCTGGTGACAGCAGAGAGATGGTTAATGGGCATCAATTTTTATTTTTAAAAACATATCACCCCACGCAAGGTGTGAGTGCCACTAGCACGCCAGGGGTTACAGAAAGTGAAAGCAGTAGTAAGGAGGATGTATGAGGAAAGGATACCGAGAAGGACAGGGATCAAGATCAAGGCATCAGTGGAAAAAATATAAGAATAAAAAAATGAACAATTAAAGACATTTTAAGCATTTTACCCCAAGCAAGGCAGGAGTGCTATTAAAACGCAAGAGGTCACAGCAAAAGTAAAGAGGAATGTATGAGAAAAGGATAAAGATAAGGAGCTGGGATCCAGATAAAGGCATCAGAAGATGTCGATTGACATTACATTTGAATATTTGAAGATTATAGCTACCAGGGAAGCAAGTAAGAGGACGGGAGTTTCACTGGCGGGAAGTGCGAGATAAGGAGATGTTGGAATTGAACAGACGGCTACACTTAACCGTTTCGACAGTGGAAGGGTGGGACCGAGATGCCAACCTAGTAGCACGCTTAAATTCCTGCAGTTTGGGAACCAGTGAAAATAGCTCGTCAGAGAGGTTGCCATAAAAATACTTGTAGAAAAGTAACTATAGAGGAGATACCAGATCAGGACCTATCATATTGCATATCCTTCTCTGAATTTTGTCGAGGACATCGAAATGAACAGCGGGGTCACCAGACCATATATGGCAACAGTATTCGATGCAAGGACGAATGGTTGATTTGAAGATTTGAACAACGGACTCAAGCGAGAAAAAAATTCTGGTGCGACACAGAGAATCAACTTTCCTTGCGGTAAATTGATAAAATATAGTTGCTCCACCTTTGTCCCACAGTCTATCTAAAGGCCTGGGCTTGCTTCCTATGACTTTTTGCTGTTACACAAGCTGAAAGAGAACCTCAGGGGTAGTCATTGCGAAGACATTGAGAAGAAGGAGATTGTGACAAGGGTTCTTGTCACTTTTATTTTGATGACTTCCACGAAGTAGCTGAAGTATTTCAGCAAGTGTATTGAAGACAGTTCGTCGTAATTTTAATTATCTCCCTTGAAAAAGTTTTAAAACTTGTGGAATTCACCAAGTAAAATGGCATTTATTTGATGTACGCTTTACGTAATATACGCAAACACTAAAAGACGACGGCCTTTATATATTAATTAATTTTCAGAGACTATGGCCTTATTAACCTCTTCTCCGGCGTAAACGTATATATACGTTTTCATTGAAGGTGTATTTTCAGATATGGACGGACAAAAACCAGCTACAAACCTGTTTATACGTCAATCTTGATTTTTTTATGCCCTTCTGACCTTGAAACAAGTATAGTTGTCAACTAATAAGTCTGGTAGAGTTGCTAGCCACCGTTAGGGTACTTCAAAGTGGCTCAGTTTCTTATTTAAAAACAAATAGAAAATATAGTCTATAAATGAAAATATTTTTCCAAAGTAATTCGCGGGAAAGGAGTTAAACCTTTTTGATTTTCTATTCTCGCCATTTCTCTGATTCTATATTTATTTTTATCATTTTTTCCATTTCTAAGTAATTCTCTTTTTTTTTTTTTACTTTTCTTGTTACTTCGTTAATTTCTTGTTTTTTCTTAATTTCTTTTAAGATTTTGTTCTTTCATATATATATAATTTCTGGGATGAGGAGTTATTTATATCTCTTATATATATATATATATATATATATATATATATATATATATATATATATATATATATATATATATATATATATATATATATATATATATATATATATATATATATATATATATAATATATTACACTGTTATATTATTAATTACACTATTCATATTCGTACTATTGTCTTAAGCAAGGCCTCTAATCGGGAGACTGGAGGTTTTGAATGGCGTGGAACACCCTTTTAATTGCTGTTGTTCCAAGGTCCAATATGACCCGGAGTGATAGCACCTGTTAAATTACCAGTTATGGGCAAATATCGAATCACCAAACAAAACCAAAACACTATGAAAGTATACAAGTACCCTAAGCGAATGCCTTTTTCGCTACAACCTTGTTCAAATTTTTACCACAACGTCATATGATCTGACACAATTGAGTATAAGATACATGAAACCACTCTTTCCAAAGTCTATGGGACTAAAGCCAAGATTTGACAGAGGTCAAATTTACTTGCACGACAAAAGTTACATGGAAGTATCCCTTGCAACAATTCTGGACAAGTTGGCGGTGTGGGCACGTCTTGAAGGAAGACATAGTGACTTTTAATTGTCACTGACGACCAGGGCGGCACTTCTCTATCCATTATATGTTGGTAAATTCTGCTATTCACTTTCACTCCTTCAATAAACATGAAGGGCGATATCGAATCATCAGAAGTGACAACAGCTTAAAACATGGTACACGTTGGTTTCTGTCGTCTAAAATGTGTTCTGAAACCTTTGGTAATGTTTCCCGGTAAAGTGGTGCAAACACTATCGTTTTGGTAGTTAACCACAGTTTCCACAGTAAAAAGCTTTCCGCCCGAAGAAATAAATTTTGTAGTGCGCTGCATCGCCTTCAAAATGTTCTCCCACCGTCAACACCAAGCCGTTTTTGTTTGGAGCAAGTTGTGAGCAGTTGTCGTTGTATCTTGCATGGTTTTCGCGGTAATTTCTCTTTTACAATAGTAGGGACCTCTCTGAAATCCCCCTCTCTTTTGCCATCTTTGTTGGTTTTTCTTCACCTCGTTCTTGATGGTTTCAACGAATCACATGTCACGAATCCAATGGTTTATTTCTGGAAATATATTTGGTGAGCTGGTTTGCTCCTCTTGAAACATTTTACAAACTAATGTAAAACAATCCTTCTGCCAACTGTCAACTGTTCTTTCAACTGACAATTCTTCATGCCAATCATTTTTGATATGTCAAATTTGATTACATTCTGTTTTATCTGCCAAATGGTTTAAAACAAAGAAATGCTATGAACTCTTATGCAAAATATGAAACTATTTTTTCGAAGAGTTATGTTACCAATTATGTTTAAATAATGAGTAAATCTTTATTCTTAAAAAAAAAATGGGTAAATATTTATGCCGCAAGAAGTACATATAAGTTTCTATTTCTGGTTTCTTTCTTATGATGGCGACTTCAAAAGAGAAATCGGAGAATCGAGTTTGAATTATAGTCAGGTTTATTATATTCACTTGAAAAAAGTATGAACCCATCTCTCCCACCAGCTATGGGTTAAATAGTTGTTAAAAACATTATTTAAAACTTATCTGAAAAACAACATTGTTATTCTTAAAAGGTTTGTCATACAATATTCTGTTGCATAATAAAAATAATTATTTTTACAATCCAAAATATGTTTCGGTTTTAAATGTAACACAAAGGGTTGATAATCCGTAAAAATACTTTCTTTTTCTTCTCTTTATCAGCCTCCTCTTCTTTATTGATTTTCTTTTTTTTTTCTTCTTTCTGCTCACCAGTTGCAGAGATCGTGCGTCGAAAACATAAAAAAATAAATTTAAGGCTAAGAATCACTGGATATTCATCGTTTTTGGTGTAAAATTTTAAGCAGTATTATTTTTTCTTTGTACACAAACCTCCTAAATAGAAGACTTCAGTTAAAAATTATTGTTATTCTAATGATGTCCCTTAGATGTCGAAATGCCAGATATATTATTATGAATTTTATTAATTTCTCTTTCTTTCTTGTTTAACTCTTTCTTTATTTCATTATATTCATCAATTTCTCTTTGGTGTGTGTTGAAGCTTGGATAAGCATGGAATAATAATAATACAACACAAAATGTACGTAAACAAAATGTATTGAAACAAGGAAAAGGTACACAATATTTACAGTTAGTTTTGGTATATTCTTGGGAAGACTGTTCCTGCAGAATGGGTTGACTAAATCGCAGTCGGGCAGAGTCTCTGGATTCGATCTCTTGTTACTTCCTTTTCCCCCGTCTTCCGGTACCAACCCATATTTATATGGTCGGTACTCCACTTATGTAAATTAGGTGGATCGTACCACAACAGTGTGTCATCTTTTTCTTTCTACTTACTTTTTCTTTTCTATTTATCTTTAATTATTTCATTATTTCTTTCTTGCTCTTCGTCAGTTCATCTTTTTTTCTTTTTTTCTTGCTCACTGGCTTTCTTTCTTTCTTTCTTTCTTTCTTTCTTTCTTTCTTTCTTTCTTTCTTTCTTTCATAATCCGTATCAGATTATCCTTTCTTTCTTGCTCAATGGCTTTCTCTCTCTCTTTCTTTCTTTCCTTCTTTCTTAATCAGTGTCAGTTTATATTCTTTCTTTCTTGCTCAATGCCTTTCACTCTTTCTTTCTTTCTTTCTTTCTTTTTTCTTTCTTTCTTTCTTTCTTTCTTTCTTTCATAATCCGTATCAGTTTCTTTTCTTTCTTTCTTGCTCAATGTCTTTCTTTCTTTCTTTCTTTCTTTCTTTCTTTCTTTCTTTCATAATCGGCATCACTTTCTCTTCTTTCTTTGTTAATTTTCATACTCTTTGTTTTCTTTCTTCCTTTCTTTCTTTCTTTCTTTCTTTCTTTCTTTCTTAATACCTATCAGTTTATCTTCTTTCTTTCTTGCTCAATGTCAATTTCTTTCTTTCTTTCTTTCTTTCTTTCTTTCTTTCTTTCTTTCTTTCTTTCCTAATCCTTATCAGTTTCTCTTCTTTCTTTCTTGCTCAATGGCTTTCTTTCTTTCATAGTCTTTCTTTCTTTCATACTCTTTCTTTCTTTCTTTCTTTTCTTTCTTTCTTAATACGTATCAGTTCATCTTCTTTCTTTCTTGCTCAATATCTTTCTTTCTTTCTTTCTTTCTTTCTTAATACGTATCAGTTCATCTTCTTTCTTGCTCAATATCTTTCTTCCTTTCTTTCTTTCTTTCTTTCTTTCCTAATCCTTATCAGTTTATCTTCTTTCTTTCTTGCTTAATGGCTTTCTTTCATTTATACTCTTTCTTTCTTCCTTTCTTTTTTTTCGTTCTTTTCCTATAACAGTTTCGCTTTCTCTTTTTTATCGCTTTTTATTTTCCTTCTTTTTCTCTTTTTTTACGTTCTTCTCTTTTCATATTAATTTCTTTTTTGTTTTATCGCATTTTTTTAACCATCGTTTTTTTTCTTGTTCTTTTCCTTTATTTAGTTTATCTTTCTGTCTCCATTTTTCTCTCTATTTATTTACTTTTGATACCAGAAACCGCGTTTTCTGCTTCTGTGTCTGATCATCTCGAAAGAGCAACTCATTAGAAACTCCTTCCGCCTTTCCCAAAGGGGGATCTTAAAAACACAAGCTTGGAATCAAATGAACAACTGCTTAGCAGAAGGATACACACAGACACGCCGAAAAATAAGAATGTGAGAACAAAACAAACAAAAAAAAAAGACAATTTCTGGATTAGCTTTCATTTTTTGAAGTTAAACTGTTTTGGCAGGGACGCCAAAAATACTGCTACAATGACAATAAGATATTCTTCAGTGTCGGTTGAAAACGGCCATATTTCCGTGCGAGCTAAATTTAATTTTTTCGCTGAACATCACCTTGTCTATACGTTGTCAGGTGGCAAGAGAAAATTTGCCCTCTAGACTTCAAGAATAAACACAGCGGAGATTAATTGATGGTAAAATGGATTCTTAAAGCTTATCTTGATTTGGATTTTGTTACAGCTGTTATACAAATGAATATATATATAATATAAATGGATATATATATATATATATATATATATATATATATATATATATATATATATATATATATATACTTGATAATGTTGATTCGTTAATCAATGAAAAGATTAATATGCAGATGTGCGTGAAAGAATTTTGGTGGATTACATTTGTCAAAAGAAAACGATGAGTGCGTTCGAAAAATAATTACGTATTTTCTCACTATGTGTTTGGAGTCATCGAACAAGACTGAATAGTTGGAAACTACGTGTTGAACCAGTGTGTCATCTCCTCTATTAGTAGGCAGATGGGAAAATTACCAAAAATTAAAAACAATGAATTGTGAGAACTAATCAAAGCAGACATAAGGTTCAATGACAGTAAAATGCGTCTAGAAATAGTTTGTCATCTCTTCTAGTAAACCGTTGGGAAAGTAATTACGTATATCACCGTAATGAGTTATGCGTCAATCTATCAAGGGAGAAGGCATATTGAATGGTAAAAAACTGCGTCTAGAAATAGTTTGTCATCTCTTCTAGTAAACCGTTGGGAAAGTAATTACGTATATCATTGTAAGGAGTTATGGGTCAAGCTATTAAGGGAGAAGTCATATTGAATGATAAAAAACTGCGTCTAGAAATAGTTTGTCATCTCTTCTAGTAAACCGTTGAAAATAATTACTTGTATATCATAATAATACAAATGGATTTTGCGTCAATCTATCAAGGAGAAGGCATGTTATTGAATGGTACAAAAAAAATGTTGCGTCTAGAAATACTTTTGTCATCTCTTCTAGTAAACCGTTGGGAAAGTAATTACGTATATCATTAATAATACAAATGGTTGATAATGTTAGGTTATAATGGATACTTGATAATGGCTATAATAATACAAATGGATACTTGATAATGCTATATTACAAATGGACTTGATAATGAATTCATATTACAAATGGTAATAAAACTGCTATAATAATACAAATGGATATATAATGGAAATAATAATTTGGTACTTGATAATGTTCATCTCTTAATAGTACAAAAACCGTTAATACAAAAAATGTTGATTACGTATATCACTTGATAATGTTTATTGCTATAATAATCAAATGGAAACTTGCATATTGAATGCTATAAAAATAAATGCGTCTAGAAATGGTTTGTCATCTCTTCTACTATTAGATAATAATCAAAATGGAAAATAATGTTGATTTATATAATAATATAAATGGAATTATAATGTTGATTCTATAATAGCAACAAAAGATAATGAATTCATAATAATACAAATGGAACCTAATATACGCCTTAATGTTTTTTACAAATGGTAACGGTGACCTATAATAAACTATACTTTAATGTTTTGCTATAATAATACAAACAAGAATAAAGCAATATTACGATAATAATTTTATTACCTGAATTGTGATGGAGCTTGATAAGATAATGTTAATTACAAATGGATACTTGATAATGTTAATTGATACAAATGGATACTTGATAATGCAGGTACAAATGGTAGATTATGTTAAAAAAATAAAATAAAAACTGATAATCACCAAATGGATACTTATAATAAATTAATCCACAAATTGCATTCCCTGTTTTATCAAATTAGGGTATGTTAATTACTGCAATAATACAAATGAATCGTCGATAATGTTAATTACTATAATAATACAAATGGATACTTGATAATGTTGATTGCTATAATAATACAAATGGATACTTGATAATGTTGATTGCTATAATAATACAAATGGATACTTGATAATAATTGATTGCTATAATAATACAAATGGATACTTGATAATGTTGATTGCTATAATAATACAAATGGATACTTGATAATGTTGATTGCTATAATAATACAAATGGATACTTGATAATGTTGATTGCTATAATAATACAAATGGATACTTGATAATGTTGATTGCTATAATAATACAAATGGATACTTGATAATGTTAATTGCTATAATAATACAAATGGATACTTGATAATGTTGATTGCTATAATAATATAAATAGATAATCGACAATGTATTCATACAGTAATATCGAACTGTGTTAGTGGCGACGCAAAAGGAATATATCACTTAATCTAGAACGAAACCCTGAAACATCAGCTGCGAGTTGGTTATAAACATAGCGTGTTTTCAGAAGCCTTGTTGCTTTTGGTGAGAAGTACGCTTTCTTCCTGATATAAGTAGATATGACATTATGGCTAATATTGAAAATCTAATTAATATTAACCACAAATATTTAAATAATAGTTCCAAAATGTGATAATTTGTTGTGATAGAAGAAAAAATGAAAGCATAGTATGAACGACTTGAATCTTACTCGTATAGTAAGCTATTACATTCTCGAATATATTTAAAAATACCTGACTAATTATAGGGTGCGTCTTATCATTTGTAGCGTGTTATCATAATACGGTAACTATTATCATTGCATTAAATCGTAACTGACTGGGAACACGAAACTTTGTATGATAATGTTCTTCTACCTGTCGTGCCACTTTGGGACGTTGGCGATCATGACTCTGCACAATTTCCTGTCCTTTATAGTTCCCAGAACAACTTTTGTCGTTTTATCATCTCTCCCATAGCCTGTTCCGCCATCCATTCGCTCAAGCTCACCAGGTATGTTGTACGTGACTTTCCTCTGTCTCTCTTTATTTCAATCTGTCCTGTGTGTATCAAATTTTCCAAGCCTTTCTTCCTCATTATATATCCCAGAAACCTCAACTGTCTCTTTCTGGTGTTAAGTATAAGTGTTCTTTATGTTGCCATTGTCTCTAGAAGATCATGATTGCCCTTACTCTGTTCTGCCATTCATTTAGCTCGTCTCTCAAGATCCTCGCCGTTCTCTTTGTCCCATTTCCCTTCGGTATTTCCTGTGAGTGACAAATTCCTCAAGCCAACCTTTCTCATTATGTGTTCCAGATTTTTCGACATTTTTTTCTGATTCCAAGTAAAAATGAACTTTTGCATCCATTTTCCTTAAGACTTGTTGTTTTCACTCTGCGTTGATGGTATTCTCAGCATCCTCCTGTATAATCACATTTCTGTTTCTTCAACTATATTCTTTGTCAGTGAGGAGATCGTCCTGCATTAATGGCCATATAGGATGGCGGAAAATACATAACAGTCCAATACTCTTTGTTAATAACGACATATTCTGTTTCTTGATTTTGGACGGTATCTTTCGCTAACCGAATGTGCCTTCGAATTTCCGTCTTACATATTCCGTCCTCTGTTAAAATAGTTCCTAGATATCTAACATGTTGCAACTGTCTGATTTCGGTATTTCCAACCTGCAATTTGCATTTTGGGCCGCCTCTTTGGCTAACAACCATGGATTCAGTCTTCTTGCAATTGATGTTTGATCCTTTTATTTTCTTTTACTACCTTCTGTAAGAGTTCTGGTAATTGCTTTTTTATTCTGTCTGCTGTCGACTCAGCATTCGGAGTCATCCCAAAGGAAAGGAGAAAAAGGAAAAAAACAATGAATGACAGATGAAATTCTTGATATAATAAAAGGGAGAAAATTTTCGTATAATCAAACATAATAAAACGAAAAATAGCCAGATTTAAAATAGCAAGTGATATAGGCTATAATACAAATCTATCAAAATCCATATCCACATTTCTAAATCCTCATCTGTCAACCTATTCTCAGCTGTTGTTTAGTTATTCATTATCAGAAAATTGACTTTGTACGTCCAAGTAAATAAATCATTAAATAAAACTTTAATAGTATTAACCATTTTTTGAAGTTTTGATTTTCAAATAAAAAAAGGTAAATTACTATGTATTAATCTACCTGTATTGAGTCGGCTCCGAGTCAAGTATAGATTTATGAAGAACTCAATTCCAATGCCGATTTATCTAACTGTGGGTAGGAAAAAACCAGGATAACTGCACTGGTAAGCTACCTTCTTAGGTGAATTTTGAAACTGAACATTATTTGCATGTCCAGTCTTCTAATTTTTAAACATATTTTTGTAATCCGACGGTATTACTTTTGTTATAAACGTTATTTTAGTCGCTACACGTGTCTCAGTTTACATCCCTGAACACTTAAATTAATATCAACTCTTCTGGATTGAGAAGTCCCACTACTTTCCATCATGGAAACCGCTCCTATATAATTTTACTTCAGGAGACCATCAAAAATATAGACGCAGTACTAGAGTAGCAGCAGGGTTTAATCATTTTACAGTTGAAATTGCTAGATGTAACCGTAAGTTCTATGCTAAGAGT